ATGTATGTATGTATGTATGTATGTATGTATGTATGTATGTATGTATGCATGTATGGATGTATGCATGTATGTATGTATGCATGCATGTATGATCATGTATATGAATGGGTGCGTATGGTATCTTCGGAGACCGGTGCATGGCAGTCGGTAGCGCCCCTTGTAGCGCACAATGCTACAAAAAGACAGCACGCATCGATTCGGAAGCTCCACTGTTTGCCAACGGCCTAGGTCGGGACTCGAAAAGCAAGGGGGATACAATAAGCATCAAAAAGGATCAAAAAGATCTCTCTTTCTCTCTCTCTCTCTCATTCTGATGTCCTTCCTAATGGTTGGTGATGGTAGGTTTCTATGTGATTTGCTTGTGTCCCGTTTCAGTGCGAACGATCACAACTGGTCGAGTCTCATCGGGGATGAAGTGAAACTCAGGCTCCGATTTCACGCAGTTGACTCCCCCAAGGGGGCGGGGGATGCCCGTATGCCGAGAAGAGCATAACAAAGGATGATACAGGGATAGGACTGGGCAAACAAAATTGAAACAAAAGGTGTACTCTGGGCCTCGTGCTGGGCCTAGTGACTTCTAGCGGTAGTCGTGGCAACCAAAAGCCGGAATTATTGATAGCAGGAAAGTAGCGGCGGATACAAATGGATAGAAGAAACCAAGAAACAAACAGTGACTTCAGGAACATGCTGCAGGAGGATGCAGAATGCAAATTCTCTCTTTGACAAACCTTCTAGACCTGCAGGCAGGGTTTGCTAATCCGTTGTTTCCATGCTGAAAAAAAAAAACATGCGTTGAATTCGCCCTAACCAAGGGCTCCACCCCACCCCCTGGGAACCACAAGCCCCTGGCACATGTACGCGCCGTGGCGGGGCCCGTTGCGGCGAATTCCGAGCAGCGAAGATCTGCGAAGAGTCGAGGGAAACTGCGCGGGGGTCAGCACCACCAAGATTGCAATCAAGTGAAGATGCAAAGCACTACAACTTAAACGTTTGACAAATAGATATAAGGGCGGAAGTTCACAATATAATATATATATATATAATGTTATATATATATATGCATATAGTATAAGCCTTCATGAATGCTATGTCTGCTCGTAGCTGCTACCTCACATCGGTGCTGTTACCAATCCTTGATGCCGACCACGAGCGGCTCACGACGGGTCACTTCGGTCCCGGCGCACTCACTCCACGGCGCTGCAAACGGTCGTCTGCTTACTCGGAGCGATGAGCATGGCCTGCGGCGATGGGGTGAGAACCGCCCGGCCCAGGGCCCCTCCAAAGCACGTGCGTCCCCATTTGGCCCGTAGAACATGTTCCATAGACCTGCTTTCGATTCTTGCAGAAAGCACGGCTAATTCAGGGAAGACTGTTTTCTTGTGATGGCTGGCTGGTGGTTTAAACCATCCCGAAGCATGTAGTCAAGTGGGCTTTGTAGCATTCCCAACTAGGGATGGGCACATTTACCATCTTCCCAAACCAACCACCCTGGAGCAGCACGCTTAACACGCGTTCACGTCATGCACGCTTCACCTCGACTTCTGAAGTGCGAGGCTCTAAGCCCCAAATCTGCGGTAGGATGCCACTAAAGTGGCTCGACTTCACCTTAGGTGGCAGCTGACATCGGCTTCCATTGGTCTCTTGAAATAGTTAGGTGTTCATTCATAAGGGTCATAAGGGTTGGTTCATGGAAGTTTTCACTTCATCAGTTCAACTTCAAAGACCATTGGGGGGTTCATACTGCATGCCTTACACAAACAACACATGTTAACCTCTCTAGTATGCATAATATACCTATAAATCTATATGCACACTCAAAAGACCAACATCCGAAGACTAACATGGACCCGAATCGTCCGACTTGACAAAACCAATGGTTATTCATTGAAACCATGTGACGTTTCAGCCGGGAAATGCGCTCATGCCCACCCCTTGAAGGTGGAACTTTCGCTGTCCCAGGTCCGAGGGATGCGACCGGGCGAGAAAGGGTCACGAACCACGGTGGCACTAGGGGAATGGAGAACAAACGCCGCAAACGCGGTACATAGAGCTCTTGTCAGCAAAGCCTGCTTTTGCGTTTAAGCGTCTTGGCATGTTTTATGATTCTTGTCGCAAAGGCTTTTCCTCCTTGAGTCTAGTTGCGTGGTTGTCATGTCCACCCAACAAACACTCACCATATCTCTTCCAATATATCAAAATTGTCCCGTGTTTGCTAATCCAACATTTCTGAGCCATGCTGAACATAGTCTGGCGTGATGTGGTGTGCGCCTGACTCCGCTACTGCCCAAGCATTCGGGCTGCATCCGACCCGGATCCAAAACAGTGGTAGACTAGGCGGTGCTCAGGGCCGTCCGAGACATGGTGCTCGTCCAAAACAACCACCGACCTGCACCAACCTGCAGTTTTTTGTTTACACAACTTGCTATGCTAGGGCCGTTTGTGGCACCAACACTTCTGCTAATGGTCCATATTCAAACATGTTCCAACCCTGTTTGTATGTTTCAAGGATGAATGTTCAATGAATGAACCAGCAAATCCATACGTCGATAGCAAACACGCAAGGCTCTGGATTCTGATATGCAGCATAAGACACCATCTCCAAATTAATCCAATCCAAGTGAGTGTTGTCCACCTGAGCCAGCCATTTCATACTATTTCATGGAACAATTGACAACGTTACCTAGGTCTTGTTTGAGAGCTGGTGTATATCTCAAAATGCCCAATTCCTGAGTCCGGCCACTGGACCTGACTGCATACTGCATCCAGTGCTGCACGGTGAAGGCAAGCAAGTGGAATGCATTTCAGAAGTGCATAGCGACCGGAGCAACGCCCACGACATGGCCCCTGTTTGGCACACACACTAAAACATCACACCCGTGACAATGAAGAATCTATCCAATGATATCCAATGTACATAATGACGGCACAGCTGGCACACCCTCCATAAACAAGTAAGTATCTTGTCAGCGACTCCTTGTAGAATACACCGCCAAAAAGATCCAAAAGGCCTCGGGCCTCGCCTGCTTCTGGAAATCGCCCGGGAACTCCGCCCCAGCATGCGCAGCGTGGACCATGAAGGAAATGGAATCGCTCTCTACCTGAGAGAAGGGTTGGAATGGCCAAACCTGAGAAGCTGCAAAACGAAAGCCAGTGCTTCCCTTTCTCGACAACTGCGCGTCGAAGCAATCAAATGAGCTCGCGCAGCCGCTTGCGGCCGCGTGTCAAATCTGCTTCATGTCTTGTTCTGCCCACACATAGGTAACCATGCAAAAGCAACAAATGCACTCTTGCATCACCACCCGCTCCAAAATCAGTAAAACATCACCAAGAGTTTACGTATACCTTTCTCGGGCCACCCCTCCCGACCCCCGACCGACTTCACACATAGATAATTCCCATCCACATTCAGATGAAGCAAAAGCCAAACAATGCACCAAAATTCGAGGTGGCCTGGGACCAGAGGCTCGCTGCCCGAAACTATATGTTCAGGCCACCTCGGAAATGAAGATATGCGAAGCAAGGGTCCTGAGGTGTCTCCGTGACAAGGCTTTTGTTAAAACAGACAGTTTTTCAAGCTAAATTCAAGGTGGCCTGAGACCAGGGTTTGCTGCCCTAAAGCACTCTGTTCAGGCCACCTTAAAAATGAAGGTCTGCGAAGCGAGAGCAGAGGATGCACATTGTCCTTCTGCTGCTTGAATGTGCCTTTTGTTTACTTAAAAGTTCAAGACCTCCCAGCTGTTTCCACCTCTTCGCTTCCCAGTCTTCCCAGGGTTCATATAGGGAGCCAGGCCATTTTCAGAATCTTCTGGATTTGAGCTGTTCGAGTTCCTATTGAAGGGTATAGTTGGCGAGTGCGTCACCACCCGCTCCAAAAGCATCAACGCATCACCCCCCAGAGTTTACGTATATCTTTCTCCAAGAGTTTACGT